TACTCGCATTGTTGTGTTTTGATAAAAGTTTCATTTTTGAATTCTGATGAAGCTGGCATTTCTGAATTCAAATAAATCTGGCATTGTTATATTTTAATAAAACTTTCTCAAATTACAGTACAGTCTTCGTTGGCCCAGTCAGACGGTCGTATCACAGGTACTAGGCCTAGCCTCTCATTATATGTCTATTGACAGACGAGACTTGTACCTGTGTACGAATTAATTTGCTCAAACACTGCATCCCACAAATTTACGTATTAATTATATCAAATCTTGTGCATGCGGTCTTCATTTACCTTTTATAAATAATGAATCTGGCATTGCTCTGTCGTGATAAAACTTTCATATTAAATTTCTGACCTACTTGGCATTAATGAGTTGTAATGAATATGGCATTACTGTGTTTTGATAAAACTTTGATTTTTGATTTTTGGTAATGGAAGTGGTAATAAATATGGCATTGTAGTGTTACCCAGTTAACTTTGATTATTGATAAAACTCTCATATTTGATTTTGGTTGAAGCTGGCATTGTTGTGTTTTGATAAAATATTCATTTTTGACTTCTGATGAAGGAGGAATTGTTGAGTTTTAATAAATCTGGCATTGTTGTGTTTTGATAAAACTCTCTTATTTGATTTTTTATGAAGCTGGCATTGCTGAGTTATGATAAATCTGGCATTGTTGTGTTTTGATAAAACTTTCCTTTATTTGACTTCTGATGAAGGAGGAATTGTTGAGTTCTAATAAATCTGGCATTGTTGTATTTTAAAAAAAAAACTCTCTTATTTGATTTTATGATGAAGCTGGCATTACTGAGTTCTAATAAATCTGGCAATGTTGTGTTTTTAGAAAAAATCCTTTTTTGATATCTGATGAAGCTGGCATTGTTGTGTTTTGATAAAACTTTCCTTTATTTGATTTCTGATGAAGCTGGTATTTCTTAGTTCAAATTAATTTGGCATTGTTCTGTTTTGATAAAATTTTCAGTTTTGACTACTGATGAAGCTGGCATTTGTGATTTTTTTTATATATTTTATACTTATATTCAAGGTCACAGGGGTCAAATATGGTTAAAACTCTAAACAATTTCTGAGAACTGAGAGAGTTAAGGTGATGATATTTGGCCAGTAACATGCTGGGATGAAGGGCAGCCAAGTTTGTTCAAATAAATGACATTGACTTATATTCAAGGTCACAGGGGTCTACTAACACTTTCGTCTTTGATTTCTGAGAGATAATAATAATAATAGCATACAACATTTGATATAGCTAGAATATGCCACTCTATAGCGCTTTACAGTACATAATTATACAAACTATACAATCCATACAATTAGCATATAGATCAATCGATACAATTTTGAGGAATTCGCAAGGAGTGCCTTATCAGGCGCTAACTACTAGCCCTATGCCACCTGGCTAATATTTCCCGATGTGTGTATGCCTTCGTGTGTGCTGGAGATGTATTGTGTTTTGTTTGTAGTGGTACCGTGCTTCCAATGGTATCATTTATAGTGCCACACCTCACTTGAATGCTACAGCACATATACCGCAACATCTACCCAAGACCATCTAATACTCCACCTGGGTTGTTTGAGTTGTGTGGGCAGTAGAAAAACCCTTTCTCTGAATAATCCATGCGTACGACGACTTCGGAGATCGAACCCCTGCCGCCTGCGTGAAAGGCCGGAGTGTTCACCACTCGATCAATCCACATATGAAGCTGAAATTGCAGATTTCTGAAATTTGGCATTGTTTTGTTATGTTTTGATAAAACTTTCATTTTTGATTTCTGATAAAACAAATCACTTGCATATCTTCTTAATTGACAACGAATGACTTTGAGGTTATTTGTATTACATTTGAGTTTTAGAAAATCAAACAAAGATAAAGGAATTACGGTTTCTTAACTACTTACTGAAACAGAGCTTGTTACAGAAGCTTCCAATACTTATGCAATGCAGTAGAAGGGAATACACATTCTTTAGCTATTAGTTTTATGAAGCGGTGACATAATTTGGATTTTATCTAGTTGTTAATGTCGGATATCAATGAAACAGGAGACGCTTACCCTTCCGGAACACTTAGTTTTATTCACATTTTACTTTGGAAATTGTCTCTTAATAAATTTTCTAAAAAGTTTTATCGTTTTTGAATTCGATTAACGGTTTTGGTGACATTGCAGTATTTTCTTTGTGTTTTTTTTTCTAGCAGCTGGTACATTTAAATGTTGTTGTTTTTTTCGAAATGTGCGTGTATTTGTTATTTATTTTTTCTCCATATGATTGAAAGATACTGAAGAGATATGCAGGCGTATAAGAGTTTATGTTTTTGCAATATTTCTGAAAGTATTCGAAGAGATTTACCCTTAATTCGTGGACCTCTAATGAAACCCATAACAGATTCAAGTTGATCAGATTATAATTTCTAACAGTTATCCCATACGATATTTAAATATCATAATACTGGTCTTAAATATTTCAACATTGATAGTGTTTGATTTGAAAAACAAGAATGCTCTAAATTTGAGCAGAGGTTTACAAACAAGTTTTATCAACTTACATATTTGTATCCACGCCTTTTCCTCTAATATAGATTTGTATTGTAATACAGATTGATTAATTTCTGATGAAATCTTTCGAAATTGGATGCATTGATTTGGTCTGAATAATAAATGTGTCTCGACTCTAAACCGCTGAAAACAACTCACTAAACTCATTAAAATTTACCGGCTTTGAAATTGGATGTCGCTCCTCTGTAATCTTCAAAGGACTGGTCAAACAATCAAATAGTTAACCGTACGCGTGTGCGTTAGATTTTGTTATGACATATTCAAGGTGTGTAGAGAAGGTATTCCTGGAATTTCAGTGGAAATTACATTGATGTTGCAGGCCATAGGAAGTAAGCGCTCAGCAGACTAGGTAGTCGATAAGAAATGGAATAACATGCGTTACCCATGAATTGTTTGAGCCAGCAGTATATAAAGCGTCTGAGCAGTCGAATCTGCGCCTCGGTCATAACCTAAACAAGGACGTAAAGCTCCAACAACTAATCAAATCAAAGAATCTGTGTCCGCAGTTCCCAGGCAAGATGCAACTGGCTCGCTGTGGCTAGCCAGTCAGTGCAAAGTACGTAGTTCCTAGGCAAGATAATCCGGTGCGCCGTTGTTGGACAGTCAGTTAAAAGTAAGCAGTTCCCAGACAAGATAAAAACCGGTGCGCCGTGGTAAGACAGTCAATGCATAGTGCTCAAACCCCAGGCCAGATGCAACCGATGCGTCAGGGTTGAAACGTCAGTGCTTAGTGCGCAGTTCCCAAACCAGATACAACCGTTGCGCCGTGGTAAGACAGTCAGTGCAAAGTACGCAGTTCCCAGAGTAGATACAACCGGTGCGCCGTTATAAGACAGTCAATGCATAGTGTGCAGTTCCAAGGCCAAATGCCACCGGTGCGTAAGGGTTAAAACGTCAGTGTTTAGTGCGCAGTTTTAAGGCCAGATACAACCGTTGCGCCGTGGTAAGACGGTCAGTTCAAAGTGCGCAGTTCCCAGACAAGATAAAAACCGGTGCGCCGTGGTTAGACAGTCAGCACAAAGTGCGCAGTTACCAGACCAGATACAACCGGTGCGCCGTGGTTAGACAGTCAGTACAAAGTGCGCAGTTACCAGAGTAGATACAACCGGTGCGCCGTTATAAGACAGTCAATGCATAGTGTGCAGTTCCCAGGCCAAATGCCACCGGTGCGTCAGAGTTAAAACGTCAGTGTTTAGTGCGCAGTTTTAAGGCCAGATACAACCGTTGCGCCGTGGTAAGACAGTCAGTTCAAAGTGCGCAGTTCCCAGACAAGATAAAAACCGGTGCGCCGTGGTTAGACAGTCAGTACAAAGTGCGCAGTTACCAGACCAGATACAACCGGTGCGCCGTTATAAGACAGTCAGTTCCAATGCCAGATAAACCTTTGCGCCATGGTTAGACAACCAATGCTTAGTGTCCAGTTCCAAGGCCTGATAAAAATGGTGCTCCGTGGTAAGACATTCGCTTTTCTCTTGATTAAAATTTTGTAAAAATCGTACTAATATAAACACAGAGGTACCTATAGTTTTCCCTCTCACCAATTCTGCTGCACTTCTTCAAAGAAAGAAAAAAGTCCTTGCCATGACTGCAAATACCCTTGTTCTTCACTAATAAAGTTATTTGGGTACACTAATAAGTTTGACCCCTGTGACCTTGAATATGGATCACGGTAATTTCTCTTCCTTTCTTCAAAAGAGGTTGTTTGAATGACAATGTAAATTCTATAACCTTGAACAATAAGTTAAGGTCATTCGTTTCTCGAACTTATTAGCACTACATGACAGTGAGTTTAAACTAATATTATGACACTACACCTTTTGATTTCTCCGTAGAAGCTGTTTAAATGTTTTAACAAATTTCATCCCTTTTATCTAGAATTCAGGTCATTTCTATTCTCAAATTTCGTAACACGCTTTGACAGTGAGCCACAGACTAAAATGCCACGACAATAAGACCTTGCGGCTATATAAATGAAGTCATTTAAGTGTTATAACAAATTTGATCCCTGTCGGACTTTGTTTTTACGTCAAGGTAATTCCTTTTTGAAAAATTTAAGCTGAATTTACCTACACAAAAAATATGCATGTTATAAAATATAAAATGAAATTTAAAACTAATATGCTCAATAAATTGTTTGCTACTGATAAAATGCTTTAATAAGTTGTGTTTAACACTTTTATGACAATAACATATTTGACATCTGCCAGCAGTTTGTACTGGGATTAATTACTTGATGGCTACACCGTAAACTCACAGTATTCTCTCGTTTAAATAGTAAACAAATCTTAAGCGCGTTTTGTATTCTTTACATAGTATGACGTTACGTTAAATATCATGAGGTTACTTCAATAATGAATCCAATTAGCCATTAAAATACGACATTCATTACAAATATTTGTCTATTCAAATGAAAAAAGTAAGAAGAAACATATTTAGAGATTTAATGAAATGTCCAAAGGAAACACCAACAGAGAACTGTTATTACTTTCCAAAATTGATGCAGTGACAAATATTATCTCGGCCGCAATACCATCGGTCAGTTGGACACACATCTGCAGTGGTGTACTGGTGACATTCTCTCTGACTGCTGCATCCTTTGAAAAGAATATATAAAAATGTCATGATATTTTGATTTAGTTAATATATTTCATTGTCATTAAATGTAATGGCTGTTTCAGGGTGTTATATACAGTTATGTAATATAAAGGTGTGTTATGTACAGCTGTGTAATATAACGGAGTGTTATGTACAGTTGTGTAATATAAAGGTGTGTTTTGTACAGTTGTGTAATATCTAGATGCGTTATATACAGTTGTGTAATATAAAGAAGTGTTATGTACAGTTGTGTAATATTAAGGAGTGTTATAAACAGTTGTGTAATATAAAGAAGTGTTGTGTATTGTCTTGTTATATTAAAGAGTGTTAATTATAATTTTGTAATATAAAGGTGTGTTACATACAGTTTTGCGATTTTAAGCGGTGTTATATACAGTCGTGGAATTCAAGGCAGTGTAATATGCAGCCATGAAATATTACACAGTGAAAAAAGGATGAATTTACTATTAGGCATTTAATTAGGTAATGAAGTTGCTTACACAGCTACTTACTTAAATCCAGATGCTTGCACGTGCAAAGGTTGTCTATGCACGATATTACAGAGCCGGCCTGGCATACCTCGTGTGCACACTCATGTGCATACACGGTGCAATTTTCCCCGGTCACACTCACTACCAAATCAAAAGGCAAAATTATCCTAATGGATTCGACTTCACACTTTTGATGTCACAGCAAAAGACGGTTATAAAAGTTTTTGCTGATGTTAATTAAGCAATGAATGTTTTAGCAGATGTTGTTATGGTCCTACAACACACATTGCTACAAACTTGTCCAGTAGGGGTTTTATATAAGTTTGTCAGCAATAGAAATGTGTGTTATAGGACTATAACAGTATTTGCTAAAATATTCATTATTTATATTTTCATTTTAATATAGTAGTTATGCTTTATTTACTTATTTCGAACAGTTCTTTGAACAGCAGATTAAGTCTTGACAGAAATAAAATTGATGACGTGACGTCACAATAGAGATTGATGACGTTACAATAACAAATGTTGTTATAGTCTCACAACAACATTTGCCTGCTCAATGCATTGCAACTGAAGGATACAGAGCAAATGTTGATATTACTATACGAACCTCGCAATTTACACCTTCCACTATTACGATGACAGTGGGTTGATATCCATGAGGTTTTACATGTAGTTATGGAGAAATGAAATGTACTAAGGAGTTGAAATATATAGGAACTATTTCGTAAATGAATGAAACATTAATGTGCCAAAAATTCGAGATGATAAACTTGCATTAGAACGATTTTATGTACTCAATTAATACTTGGAGCACGTGACTGCAAGGACTAAACAATTGTTACACACAGCAAGTATCCCGATACAATGATCCAGAGCGGGCACAAATAACGCAGAGTATTTAAAGACTGAGATAACGGTTTTGGAAAACTAACTTACACAATGGTCTTGATTTCCGTTTATTCAACTATAACTTTAAAGACTGATATTTGGGGGGCATCTCTTTGAAAGGAGTATAAAAAGGTACATAACGAGTATTATTGATTTTTTTCGGTGATATTTACACTAGGCTTGTATTATTTTTCAAAACCTTTTTTGTAATTTTTAAAACTATTCCATACAGAGAGTAACTATTGTTGACATCTACTCAAGACTAGCGTCATTCGTAAAAAATGCTGTGTTTGGTTATGTAGGATTGGGGTTTTCATTTTAGGGCACAAACGATCAGGGAGTCGATATACGTTTTGGCACAATGCACGCAGATAAAAGCGGTGTTTTAGAGTGCATTCTATAATCTATATCATTACACCACCTACCAGCACCATGAATACGTCATTGTCATGGGTTACCATAACGAGAACATTCGAGAAGAAGGTGAGAACGACTAGCGGATGGATATTCCCAGTTGGGAGTGAATTTTCTCAAAAGAGAATGTGTGCTCGCGCTAGTAGGTGTCATGCACCGGAAATAGCATCCACACAACGGTATCCCGCCTCGGGAAATAGTCCGTCATGAACAAACCATCATAAACTTATAAAAAACATATTATGAGAATTCCAGCACCGTCTTAAGTGCATCGACTAGCCAATGACAAGAATATTGTTTTATAGTATCTTTCAACACAATATTTTAGGGTTATGGTATTCCTCAGAGTAAAAATTGTATTTGTTTACATTTAACACCAACCGTGAATCTAGCTGATCATTAGGCCTAGAAGTCGGATAGAAGACAAGGAATTTATTTAATATTTTGAATTGAGAAATATATAAGTTAGTAGAATTTAAATATAAAACATTTGATATAGCGCCCTATCTAGCTAAAATAAGCCACTCTAAAGTGCTTTACAATACATATATATACAATTGATACAATTATCATATACATTAATCGATATAATTTTGAGGAATTCGCAGGAGCTGCCTTATCAGGTGCTAATCACTGGTCCTATGCCAGCTGGGTAATATATCCCTATGGGTGTGTGCTGGAGATGTATTGTAATATTGATGATGATAAGGTAATCACACAGTATTTTGAGGGTCAGTTGTTCGAACAGGTAAACTTACCGAATGATATATAGACAACATACAGACACGTAAACTTACCTGTAGAGAGATATACAACAATACAGACAGGTAAAATTACCTATAGATATATAGACAACATACAGACACGTACACTTACTTGTGAAGAGATCTACCACAATACAGACAGGTATTACATGTTGTGAGATATACCACAATACAGACAGGTAAACTTACCTATAGAGAGATATACCACAACACAGTCAGGTAAACTTGCCTGTAGAGGGATATACCACAACACAGACAGGTAAACTTGCATGTAGAGGGATATACCACAATACAGACAGGTAGCACATGTAGAGAGATATACCACAATACAGCCAGGTAGTACATGTAGAGAGATATACCACAACACAGCCAGGTAAACTTGCCTGTAGAGGGATATACCACAATACAGACAGGTAGTACATGTAGAGAGATATACC